ATTTTCTGTGCAGGGCTGGGAATCTGGAGGTTGCCAATTCTAATCCTGACTTGGCTGAAGTGCTTTTTCCATCTGTGAGAGGACTAAAACCCACCTGCTTCAGAGCAGGATGAAAAGATTATTGAATGTGTGTGAAGTGCTTTGAAAGCGGGCGGTGTAAGGAGGAGGGAAGAACTGCCTTCAGTCCTAAAAGCGTCTTTTCAAGAGCTGTAGAGGGGAAAAATAGGTCTCTCTTTAAAGTCTGGGTCCTGAGTGTGCTGAAAAGACATAAAAGAGGCATAATTCAGCTCTTCAAAAATATCTTAAGGGAAGCAGCTCTTTGGTTTGCTGGGTTTCAGGGCTGTCGGGAAGGTGTTTGGGGTGGATGTTTTTGAACCCAGAGCAGAAAGTTGTGTCCTGGTCTGGAGCTCTGAGTTCTTTTGCCTGCTCTGATCGTGGAATCCTGGAGTGTCCTGAGCTGGAAGGGACCCACAAGGACCATCCAGTCCAACCCCTGCCCTGCACACACACCCCAACAATCCCCCCCTGTCCCTCAGGCTCCCCAGGGCAGTGGGCACCCATGAACTGCCTTCACTGTCACCCCTGAGAGAGGAAAGAGAGGGTTCAGTGTTGGGTCCTCCAGCCCATGGACTCTGCTTGGGGGCCTTAATTCTGCTTTTTTTTTTGTGTTTAGGGCAGTAATAACCAAAATGTCACCCTTTTTGCGTTTCGTTTTTAACTGAAGTTTTTGCAATGAGGACTGAAAACCCAGCTGGTGGTAAGGTCAGGACGTGTCTTTCCACGCCGTGGCTCCCCAGCAGTTTGGGATTTGGGGTCATTTATCTGTCCCAGCAGTTTCCTGTGGGTGGGCGGGGGCAGCTGGGTGATGTGCTAGGATTTTGGGGTGGGGCTGAAAGGACACTGGGGTTTTTTGCTCTTTCCGTGGCCGTGGGCAGGTTCAGCCCCAGGTCAGAGTCTCCCCACGTGGCTCTTCCTCGCTCCAGTGGAAAAGCAGGAGTTGGGAGCAAATCTCCACCAACCCAGAAGGGTTTTGGGGGGTGAAGGTGCAGCGAGCTACCCGGTGCTGGGGCGCTCCCACAGGAGCCCTTCATCCACTCTCAGAGGATCTCCCTCCACCTTCAACACCTTTTGAACACTTCCCCTGATTGGTTTTATTTTTTTTTTTTTTTTAATCTCCAGCCAAGATTTTTTATTTCTTTTTTAATCTCCAATCCTAAGCCCTGCCCTGCTGTGCTTAATGGGCAGCACGACTCCCTAATCCCGGGTTTCCCAGCCCACGTTCCGGTGCTGGGCGAGGCCGGCGTGGGCTGGCGTGGGCTGGCGTGGGCCTCGGGCAGGCGCCGACAGGCATGGCCAGGCAGTGTCCCTTGTCCCTGATTCCCTGCAGCCTCCTGCCCTGCTGGACACGGGGTGTGGGGCCGGGGGCACGGCAGGACGGGGGGGGATGGATGTCGGGGGAACCCACAAGCCACTCGTGGGGGTCCCGCGTGTGCAGCTGGGGAGCGGGCACAGCAGGTGGAAAACTCCCCCCGGGGGTGACGGGAGCAGCTGTAGGAAAGAGGAACCCGGTCAGAAAACCCCCGGCGACACGGAGAGCCCGAGCGAGAGCTGGCAGGCAGCGAGGGTGAAGGCGGGTCCTGCCCCGAGTCTCTGCCCCTGCGAGTGCAGTGTCAGCACACGCGCGGCGTGGGGAGCCGGCAGCCCTCGCCGCGGTGCCTCAGCAGGGCCGGCATGAACAAATACCTGCAGTGTTTGCTGAGCGCGGGGAGCTCAGGTAACTCTTCTGGCCCTTTTTTTTGACTCGGGGTGAGGGGCGAGGCCGGGAAGGAGAGAAGCGAAGCGGCTGCTCCGGGGAGGCTTTCCCGGGGGGTGCCGCTCATCGAACAGCAGCCCCGGGTGCTCGGGCTGCTCCCTCCGGAGCACAGGGACCGTGCAGACAGCTCAGCTCGCCTTGGGGGGATCTGCTGGCACCGGGGTTTTCCCTCTCCCTGCGGGATCTTGGCTCTTTATCGGGGAGAGGGTTGTGCTGAGGGTGGGGAAAGCCTGTGGAGCTGCAGGAGTTCCCGAAGGAGCTGCAAAGTTTTAATTCCGCCTTTCGGGTTGTCCGAAGCCAGGCAGGTTTTAAAACCAGCTTAACTCTCCCTTTTAACCCTTCATAACTCACATCTGAAGTTGTTTTGTCTTTTAAATGTGGTACAGCTTGAAAGGTGCTTTTCTTTAGCTTTTGACTTTGTATTTCAAGGTGTCCAGTTGTGGCTGTATTGAAATAGTTGTTGTTTTTTTTTTTTTTCCCTGAAATAGTTAAAGAAACAAGACAGGTGTTAAGCAGATAACTTATCTTGAGCACACCAGAGAAAGGCTGGAAAATTAAAGCACTGGTGGGTGTAGCTGCTTTTGACTGTGCTGGTCAGAGTAAGTTTTCAAGGTGGTGCTGAATAGAGAGAAGACACCAGATAACTTGAAACACCTAAATATTTCTTTTTTCTTCTTCTTTATAAAGAAGATTTGCTAATGCTCTGCTGATGAGCAGGTCCCAACAATTTCCCCTTTTCCTGTATTTTGGGGAATAACTTTAAAGCTGTGATGAGAGGGGGAATGGTAAGATCTCCAAGGAATCCAGACACTGAATATCCAGATTAACGTTATCATGGCTTTGCAAGCAGTGGGATGCCTCTGACAGGCTGTGGGGTGAGGGTGGCTTTGGGGTGCCAGCCTTTGCTCTCTGGCAAATGCACCAGTTTTGGCTCTCAGTTCCTTCCTAAATCACTGGGAGAAATGTGCCAGTGGGGTGATGTCCCCTTAGGAGAACATTCCCACCTCTCACAGGCCTGGATGTTCTTTGCTGTTTCACAGTGGAGCAGGTGGGACCGTCAGGGCTGGTGATGGAGGGATGGGAGGGATGGTTTTGTCTGGCTTTTCCCCCCTTGGATTCAGCTGGTGGGGCTATGGGGGGCAGTGACAGTCCCAGCTGCCCCCCAGAGCTGTCTCTGGGGCCGTGGACAGGGTGAAGCTGCCACGTTCAGTGGCTTGAGGACCCTTTAGGTGTTTGTCTGTCTGGGCCAGAGGCAAAATTGCCCAAAGTTGTGTTTTTTTGAATAGAATGGGGGGGTGTGTGCTGTGTCCTGGGGTGGTGGTGCCTGAGCTGCCCTGTGGGACGTGCCCTGACATTCACCTGCAGGAGTTTCCCAGCTGGAGCTGTTCCCTGCTGGAATGAGCCCACTCAGGCAGGGCTGTGGCTCAGCAGAGCTGGAGAGGGACTGGGGACAAGGGATGGAGGGACAGGACACAGGGAATGGCTTCCCACTGCCAGAGGGCAGGGTGAGATGGGATATTGGGAAGGAATTCCTGGCTGTGAGGGTGGGCAGGCCCTGGCACAGGTTGCCCAGAGAAGCTGTGGCTGCCCCTGGATCCCTGGAAGTGTCCAAGGCCAGGTTGGAGCACCCTGGGCTGGTGGAAGGTGTCCCTGCCCATGGCAGGGGGTGGCACTGGATGGGCTTTAATGTCCCTTCCCACCCAAACCATCCCATGATTCCCCCCTGGCAGGATGGGAACAGCCTGTGGATGGTCCAGGGGGGATGTCTGGCTGCTCTTGTCCCTTGCTGGGCCTCCCCCTCCCCGTGCTGGTTGTGGCACCTCTGGGAACCCCCCGCTCAGCCTCCGGGCTCAGGTGGCACCGTTGGTGGCAACAACACCAGCTGGAGAAACCAGCCCCGACCCAGAGCAGGGTTAAAAATACCCTGTGAGAGATGACTGTTCAGCTTTTTTCAGCCTCTCTTTTCTCACATTTGAGTCCCTTTTTCCACTAAAGAAATGACTGTAGGGGGGTTCATGATGTACTTTACGTTAAAACACCTCCCTTGGAGTAACGAATCCGAGGATTGGGGTGATAGGGACGTCTCAAACCTTTCTTCCTGCTGTCTCTTGATCAGAACGAGGCTATACCTGCTTGTAAAATTTAACTTCAAGAGTTAAAATTTACTACTTAAAAACAGAAGGAAGGAGCAAACCAAATTCTTACAACTAAGATTATATCTGAAGTTGAAGAAACATTTCTCTTAGCTCCCCTTCCCTGCCCTCCTAACCCATTTCCTCTGGACAATTACTTGAAAAGTACTATTTTAAAATCTCAGCATTCATTATTTCCAAGCGGTTGCCTATTATTGTCGAATTAATTGTTGGGAATTTGCTTTGGGTCCTGGCAAATGAGCTTTTGTGCCAAGAGCTGCCATTTCTTTTGCACTCTGAAGAGGAGCAGAGCTCGCTCAGCCTGCTGGTAAAGCCTTTTCTGAAACTTCTTTTTTTTTTGTTTTGTTCTGGAGGAGCCACCGTCTCCTCTGTGATGCATTAAATGAAAAGCATAAAGCACCTTTCCAGTGGTGCTAATTCCTGTGTGATTGCAGGGGCTGTCCATTTGCTGAGTGATGGCAGGGCAAACACAGGGAGCTGTTAAACCAACAAAGCTCTTCCGATGACGTGAAATAAAAATGCCTTTTGTTTGTTTTTGTTTTTTTTTTTTTTTTCCCTCTCCAAAGAGTCTCCAAACAGCTTTCACCTTCCCCACCTTCCCCACCTCCCCCACGAATGCGGCTTTTGTTGCCAGCTGCAGGTGACCCCGGGGAATGGGTGACTTTGGCGGTGGCAGGTCTTGAAAATCATGGAATCCCTGAGGCTGGGAAAGACCCTTGAGGTCCCCGAGTCCAACCAGCCCCAGCACTGACCCCACCTCCCCAGGTGACTGTTGAACACTCCCAGGGCTGGTGACTCCACCACTGCCCTGGGCAGCTCTGCCAGTGCCTGACAACCCTTTCTGTGAAAACATTTTTCCAAATATCCAACCTGAGCCTCTCCTCCTGTCCCTGTTCCCTGGGAGCAGAGCCCGACCCCCTCCCAGCTCCCCCCTCCTGTCAGGGAGTTGCAGAGCCAGAAGGTCCCCCCTGAGCCTCCTTTTCTCCAGGCTGAGCCCCCCCAGCTCCCTCAGCCCCTCCTGCTGCTCCAGCCCCTTCCCATCTCCACTCCCTTCCCTGCACACACTCCAGCTTCTCCATGCCCTTCTTGTCATAAAATATTGTCAAGAAATGTTTGCTGTGCAGCTTGACCAGCAAAGCCTTTTGCTTTGAATTCCTAATTGCTGTAAATTTGGAAGTTTCTGGGTTTTTTGCCACCTTTTTGCCTGGCAGCAGCAGCAGCTCAGTAGCTCTGTCAGGTCTGGAAGGGAGGTGTTTGATTGTCACCCAATTGCCCAGAGCAGCTGTGGCTGCCCCTGGATCCCTGGGAGTGTCCCAGGCCAGGTTGGACGGGGCTTGGAGCAACCTGGGCTGGTGGAAGGTGTCCCTGCCCATGGCAGGGGGTGGCACTGGATGGGATGCTCTTTAAGGTCCCTTCCCACCCAAACCCTTCCAGGATTCTGTGCCCCACGTTCTGCACCTGCAGGTTTGCACTGACCAGCAGCCATCCCACATTTTGGCTTTGCTGTGTTTGAAGCATCTCAGGTATGTGTTGTGGTGGGTGCTGGGGGGAAAAAAAAAACCCAACAAAAAAAACCCCAGACATCTTTTTCTCCAGAATGATTCACTGTAGAGTAAGTTTTACCATCACACAGGTGACCTTGTCCTCCCATTCTTCTGTAATGTCAGCTTTGTTTACTTGTTGCCCAAACTAGAAGGACCAGGGAGGAGCTGCTGGATTAGAGGAGCTCTGTAATAAAAGCAGCTCCACCTCAGAGCTGAGGCCTCGTGTCCCAGGAGAAAGCCCAGCCAGCCCCGTGGTTTTGGCAGGATCTTGTGTTGTGCTCCACATTCTCTGGGCTGAAGGGGCTGAGTTTGATGTGCTGGGTTAAGGAAAACCCTCACTGGGGTCCTGTGGAAATCAGTAATGACTTGTTTTGTGTGCTGTTGGTGGGAACTCCACCTCTGTGTGTCTTAGGAGGGTTATTTCATGTGTCTGAGGTATGTTAATTTATTAAAATTGTGCTTTAAGGAGTGCCCTGATGGCAGTTTTCACAGTCCTGTCAGGGGGTGGCATCTCAAGTCTCATTATCTCCTGATTCCCAAAGGACAGTGTAGACTCTTTTATAGAATCCCAGAATATCCTGAGCTGGGAGGGACCCACAAGGACCATCTAATCCAACCCCTGTCCCTGCCCAGGACACCCCAACAATCCCCCCCTGTCCCTCAGAGCGTTGCCCAAACGCTCCTGGAGCTCTGGCAGCCTTGGGGCCGTGCCCACTGCCCTGGGGAGCCTGGGCAGTGCCCACCACCCTCTGGGGGAAGAACCTTTCCCTGAGATCCATCCCACCCCTCCTGGCACACCTTCATGTAAAACACCCCTCCAAAAAGCGTTATTTCAACGTGTGATGCCTCTCTTTGGCTTCAGCAGGAACCACAGACATCTCTCACATCAAACCCAGTGCAGTTCCTCCTGTACTAATCCCCCTTTACATCCTGAGCGTCCAGATGAGTGAATTAAAAAGAGGAATAAAGGGTGAACAGGCTCATTTGAGCACCGAGGGATCCTTTCCCTCTGCTGGGTTCCTGGGAGTGTAATCAGGCAGGTCTGATTTGAGACAGCAGGTTGGTTTCTCTGGCTTTGGAGGCTTGATGGCTCTCTCTGTTTATGTGTGTGTGTGTTTATATAAACACCCCTCCTCTTGCTGTGTTTCCCCTGCATTATCTGCCGATGCTCCCTGGCCAGGGGTGCCGGTGCTGACGAGCTTGGTGGAGGCCACTTAAGAGAGTCTTTCATGGCCAGGCAGGCTTTGATCAGCAGTGCTGGGTGATCCATCAGGGCCTCCTCCACAAGAGCTCTTTCCTGGCCCGTCTCAAAGCCTGCTGGCACGTCTGGAGGTTGTAATGTGTGTTTTCATCTGCTCCCTCCACCCAGGGCCACGAGAGGTGCCCCTGGTTTTGTCCTGCAGGTGAACAGCAGGGGCTCAGACACCAGACCTGTGCTTGGCTCGCCTTCTGCTTTTATCTGATCCTGACTCATTTAAAGCAGTTTGGTTTCCTGGGTGCACAAGATGCCTTTTGCGCAGTTTGGGTTTGTGTTTTTGCCCATTTTGGCGAGTCTTTAGATCCAGACTCTTGTGCTCTCTCTTTTCCTGATCCTTGGCTGTGCACAAACTGCCAGGCTTTCAGCTGTTCCCTTGGAATGCCTGTGTGCTCAATTTTAGGTCTCAGTCTCAATTCACAGGGTGATAGCTGACTCCTCAGCTGGTCTTCTGTGCCCCAACGGAGCTGATGTTTCACAGCAGGGTGGGGAGGGATGAGGTTGGGGGATATGGAGCGCTCCCTGCTCCTTGTCAGCTCTCAGGGTGGTGTTTACACCTCCTAGTTTTGATAATCTGGACACAAACTCGCCTTGACGCTGCTGCCCCTTTCGTCTGGCTTTGCTCCTGGTTTTCCCTCGTTGCCTTCATTTCCTCCTGGTTTCTGACTGGGCTCTGCAATCAGCCTGGGCAGTGTCCATGCTCTGGTTTGCTACCTCCTCCCTCCCTCTCCTCCCACGGGTGAGCTGTGCTGGGTGTCACAGAGGGGAAGGGCACTCACTGCTTTGGGAAATGCTCTTGGTGTCGTCACTAAAGCTCTTTGCAACAGCTGGAGGGGAACTGCTTGTAGAAATACCCCCTTGTTCCTCCTTCCCCTCGTTCCTGGCTCTGACAGTGCCAGGAAGGCGGTGACGTCACCCTGTGATTGCCCAGAGCCCCTGTTCAATCACGAGCTCATTGGTTTGGAAAAAAAACTTGGCAAACCCGAGGGGGGTATAAAAAGTATTTTCTGAAAGCGCTGCCTTTGTTTTAAGCTCTCTTACTCTGCTTCCCCAGGGGCTGGTTCTACCCAACTGCTTGACGGGTTCTTGTTGCCAAAAGGAGCTGTGCGTGTGTGGATCCTCTATCAAAAAAAAACACCCCAAAACCCCCAAACAACCCCCTCAAAACCCTCAGTCTTGTGGGAATGGGAGAAGCGGCTCCTTTAACGCTTTCTGACTTCCAAGAAATTCCCTCATCCCTCTTAGAGCTGAGAGGTTTTTTTATGTTCTGTCCTTTATCTCTCTGCCTGTTGTCTGGTTCTTCTGCATATCCATGTTGGAAAGGCAGTTTTACTGCTGTCCTTGTGGGAGAGAACAAAAGGTTCCTCTGGGATATATCCAGAGGCACTCTGATAAAACAAGGATTGAAGACAGTTCCGAGTCCAAAAGCAGTTGTTAACGCACCTGTAGCTTCTGTGAGCTTGCTAAGTGTGGTTTTTGTAAGAATCACGGAATGGTTTGGGTTGGAAGGGACCTCAAAGCTCATCCAGTCCCACTCCTCTTCTTACTGGAATCCTCTTCCCACCTCGGTTGCTCTGCTGAATTAAGCAGATAATTCTGTGCACACTCAGCTCCTCTTGGGCCTCGTGATTATTCCTGGGTGCCCTGAAGAATATTTAATTTATAGAGATTTCCATGAGTAGCAAAAGCACTTTGTTAATGGATCTTTGATCCTGGGAGTGGGCTGTGCTGTCTGGTGTAGTCTAGGCCCGAGAACATCACTGGTGGCTTTTGGTATCCAATGTTTATTTATTCTGGGGTGCTTTTGGTTGTCATCAGCGTTGGGTTTTGGTAAGAGCAGACCTTACAAAGACCTCTTTTAGATTTTACTCTATAGAAAATATCCCTTTGAATTACTGACAGTAAATGATGTTTAATTCCTTTTTCACAGAGCGGGGATATGATCCCTACAACCCAGAGCTTCCCAGGGCCTCGCTGGAGACGGAGGATGGCACCCTGACTGACCTGACAGACGTGACCCCTGGGATTCTGGAGCTGGAGCTGGTCAACAAGGCCATTGAGGCTGTGAAGAACGAGGTGGAGAGAGAGCAGAAGAAATACGAGGAGCTGCTGGAAACCACCAAGGAGTTTGGTGCCTCAGAGGGCTCCTCCCTCCTCTCCAACTCGCCCGTGTCGGCTGCTGGGACTCAGAGCGATTCCTTTGCCTCCCTGGAGTACAATCCAGGGAGCTACAACTTCAACAGTAACTCAGACTACAACCCCACCCCTCTCACTGCTGCTGGCCGGTCGAGTAAATACACTTTGGACTCCTCCCGATCCAAAGGGAGCTCCCTGGAATACATTCCCAAGGCTGTGGTACAGAGTAAAAAATACAGCAGCGCTGTCACCACCAACAAGTACGTGATTGATGACTCCAAGCCTTCCACAGACTTGGAATACGACCCCCTTTCCAATTACTCAGCCAGGCTTTTGAGCAAAGCCACGACCAAGGAGCCCAAGGGGTCCAAGAGGGAAAGGGTGGCTGATTATGAGGATTCCTACTCTCCCTCACAGAAGAAGCTCTGTGAGGACCCCGATGACTACGAGGTGTTGGCCAGGTTCTCCTCCTCTGAGGATGAGGCTGATGTGGAGTACAAAGCAGCTTCTGGTAGCTCACCATCCAAAGCTGGCTCTGAGAGTGAGTCGAACGAGCTCTCCAGCAAAGAGCTGAGCACCAAACTGGATGGCTTCGCTTCCCAGGAGAGCAGGGAAGCAGCACAGTGTGGCAGGGAGGACCTCCCAGGCTGGCAGAAAAACGTGGCCAAAAACCTGCCAGACAAGAGCACAAAGGCTCTGGTGAAACCGTGCTCTGGTAAGAACAGCCAGGAGGCTGAAAATAAAAACAAAGACTCGAAAGACAAAGCAAAAAGGAAGAAACCAGACCTTAGTAAGACACCAGGCCTCGGTGAGGCCGGGAAGAAGGAGAAGAGTAAAGAGACAGAAAAGGGCAAAGTGCTCAAGAAAGAGGAAAAATTGAAAATCAAGAGCGAAGAGAAAAACTGCAAAGATAAAAGCGTCAGGGCGAAAACAGAGGGGAACCTGAAGAAACCTGAAAAGCAGAAGTCAGAAAAAGCAGATGGGCTCAAGAAGGAAAAATCCAAGTCCAGCAGCAGCAGCAGCAGCAGCAGCTCAGGAAAAAGCAAGAGCGAGGGTTTCCCCAAGGGCTGCGGCTCTGAGAAGCTGGGGAGCAGCGGGAAGGACTCCCAGAGCAGAGCGGGGGACGTGAAAAACGGGAAGGAACCCTCGGGCCGGAAAAACAAGGAGAAAGGGACCAAGACCGCGGGGGGGGAGAGGAAGAAGGAAAAGGTCAGTCCTGCGGGCCAGGGGGAGCCCAAGAAGGGCCGGAAGCAGCGGAGCTTGAGCCACGTGGACCTGTTTGGGGACGAGAGCGGCGAGGACGACGCTGAGGGCCGGCCTTTGGCCTCCTCCCGGCGCGCCCCGAGCTCAGACTCGGACGGGGCGGGCTCGGGCTCGGCCTCGGAGGGCACCGGGGAGAGGGCACGCAGGGCCAAGCGCTCCCGGCTCTCCAGGTCCTCCTCATCCTCCTCCACCTCCGACGGCATCGACTATTCCATCCTGGAGAAGGACGTGGACTTCGAGTCGGACCCCATGGAGGAGTGCCTGCGGATCTTCAACGAGTCCACCGATGTGAAGACCGAGGACAAGGGAAGGCTGGGGAAGCAGGTAATGCTGGGGTGGGTTCTGCCTGGGCTCAGTGGTGCTGCTGCTGCTTTCAAGAGGCTCCGTGGGTTGGGAGAATCTCATCCTTGTCCTGGCTGAGTGCTCGGAAGAGCTTGCACCTGAGTTTTTACCTGCGGGATCCAGTTCCCTTTTTGTGTGGAAGGCCTTTAGCCATCAGGGTTATCAGTTACTTCTGTCCCCATCTGGGCCTGGGTGGCTGGAGAAGAGGCTTCAGAGAACAAGTTTTGGGGGTTTCAGAGCTGAATTTGCCAGTGTGGGCGATGCCTTCTTGTTGCAGCAGAGTTTAAGAGCACGGGGGTAAAACCTGGGCAGTGTATTGGGACAAGTGAAGTCCATGTGCATGTCACTGGATACTTTGGAGACTACCCAAATATTATATAATATTTATTATTTTGTGGTGTTTGGTCTCAGTAGTGAGTCAGGAGAGGGTTGGGATGGATATCAGGAAAAGGTTCTTCCCCCAGGAAGAACATTCTCAGTCACAGGGTGGGACTGCTGGGCAGGGCCAGGAGTTGGACTGGATGATCCTGGTGGGTCCCTTCCCACTCAGGATATCCCAGGATTCTGTGATGCTGCAGGAACAGGGCACTGTGGTGCTTTTCCACCGGGAAGAATGGCTCTGTGGGAGGGTTCACTAGGGGTGTAAGTGAATTAACAGGCCCTGGAGTTCCTGGAGAGCCGAGTAGTTCAGTGGGAAGTGCTCATCAGAGTCAGATCCCGAGTTCTTCAAAAAAAACCCACCCCAAACACCCCTGGATTTATTAGGAGTGCCAGGAGAGGTGAGGTGTGTGAGTGGCTGGCAGGAGAGGGGTGTTCAGGTCTCCTGTGGTGGGTGTGGGGTGTCAGCAGTTGTGTCGTAGCTCGTGGAGTGGGGACTGTCACGCTGCTGTCCCTTGGCTTTCCTGGGGGCTCCTGGGGTCAGAGCAAGGTTTGTGTCAGCATTTCAGCAGCTGAGCACATGTTCTCACCTGCCAGCTGCCAGGTTAACCCCAAAAGAGACTTCTCCCATCTCCCTCTTGAGAGGGGTCTTCAAGTCTGCTCAGTTTTGGGAGCTTGTTCTTTTTTTTTTTTTTTTCCAGCCATCCAAAGAGGAAGCGAACGAAGAAAAGACAGAAGATAATTTAACTACCTTGTTTCCTGGCCAGAAAAGAAGGATCTCACATCTTGTCAAACAGGGAAATGTAAGTGCAGATTTAGAAGCAGAAGTTTAGATCCTTTCAAGTGAGGATTTTCTGTCCTGACCCTGGCAGAAGATGCAGTCCCAGGGCCAGGCAGGGGCACGTGAGCTGTTTGTGCTGGAATCAGTCTAATTCCTAAAAAACCCCCATGTTTAGGCATCTGTTAAAAATGGCAGCAAAACCCTAGTGAAATTTGTAAGCTGTGGAAGAGTGAATGGATTCTGCAGTCTGTAACCCTTTGGGATAGGTTGAGATGTTCATTTCCCTCCACTATGGCTCCATTCAGTGATTCAGATAAAAAATGAGCTGGACACGAGGTCACTCTGTGCCTGATGGTGCTTTTCTGTGTCTTGTGGACCTAAAAGCTGCAGGAAATTTTGTCAGATGTTTAAAACCATTGCCTTACATTTGTTCTGAATCAGCCAAGAGCATCAGCAGTGTCTGTTTGGATACTCTTCTTTCCCGACTGTAAAAATACAGAGATGAGAAGAATTAAAGCCAAAAAAAACCAAACAAAAGGCAGGGAGGATGTTCTGATTTTTTCATTCCTTTCTCCCTGGGATTTTAATTCATGTTTTCTCTGAGGCTTTAATGTGTTTCCCTCCAGGTGCTGAGCACAGATTAGTTTTATGTTCCAGCAGGATAAGAGTGGAGACTTACAGACTGATTTGAGCTGGCCAGTCCAAATTAATTGTTCTTCCTTTCCTCTCTGCCTAGGAAAGGTTTTTTTTTTTTTTTTTTTGCTTTTTGCTTTTAATAATTTGAAGCCCTGAGGTCAACACAATGTGTTTTATTTAACTACATATCTTCAGCCAGTTCGTGTGGTTTGATAAGGGCCCTTTCTTCCCAAGTGAAGAGATAAGAGACTGAAGCAAATGGCTTGGAAATTCATTAACTCAAATATTTATCGTAAAGAGGCGCCTTTTAGGCATGCACAGACCTTTAAATATATTTTCTTAATGTGACAGCTGATCCCAAAATGCTTTCCAAAGATGGGAGCCCCAGCACAGGCCCTGCTTGGGCAAACAGAGCCAATCTGGTGACTCCGCTCTGGGACCGGCATTCCCTGGCGTGGCCCAGCTCCCCTGCTCAGCAGGTGCTGGCAGACCTGAGCTGCTGCTTTTCCACCCAGAACCGAGCCCTGTGCTTTGCCATGGCCCTCCAAGGGCAGTGTTTGCTCAGTGCTGCTCGTGATTTACGGCTCAAGCACTGAGGGGAGGGAGCCGAGGTGGGGGAAATGATGGGCCGGAGGAATTGGAGGTGAGGCACCAAATGAGTGGCCTGTGCTGCTCAGAAGCCTGTCATTAGAATTAATGGCTGACTGCACTCAGTTTGGTATCCAGGAGCTGGTGGCAGCATCAGAGACCAGGAATGCAGGAGGTGCCAGCTCGCCCCCGATTTGCCGTGTTTGCTCTGACCCCTTTCTGAAGGGATTCCGGGAGGCAAGGCCTGCTCCTCGGATTTCTGAGGTTTTAAGTGGTGTGGAGAAGTTTGTCCTGCTTCTGCTGCCAGAAAACCTCTCTCTTTGCTGACATCATTCCTGGCACTTTTCCTGCAGCCCAAATTTGGGCATGGGAGGAAGTGCACGTGGAACCTGTTGGTGCTGGGCACGGCTGAGGTGCCTCCAGAGGTGGGCAGGGACAGAGCCTGCTGGAAGTGCAGAGCTCAGCTTGTGCAGTGCTCTGATCCCATAAATACATATTTGGGAGGCTTTCAGGTAGCTCCAGAGTGGAGACCTGGAAGGGGAGTGCCGAGAGCTGGGTGTGCAGGGAGAGAGCTGGGAAGCTCAGCATCGTGCACAGCGGGGAACGGAGGCTCATTGTCGCTTCTTCCTTGCAGTACAAACCCCAGCAGGCAGCACAGGGCTACTTTTGTGTTCCAGTGCAAGCCTCAGAGTGTTGGCAGAGCCCACAAGTGGGTTAGGCACAGGGATGGGGGAACATCCCACCATTAAGAGCAGCTCAAACACCACCTGCCAGCCGAGGAGCGTGCTGGGAGGCCTCCCCGAGGGTGAATCATTAATGCCGTGGGCTTGGATGGGTGACTCTGACTGTTTTGCTCTGAGAGACAGTTGGCATCCTCTCCTCCCAGAAGCCTGAACGTGCCCAGAGAGGAGGGGGTGAGGAGAAGAGGCCTCTGTGGGGCGGGGATGGGGCCGGCGGGGGTGGCTCTGACGGTGGTTTGTGTGTGCAGGCAGAGGCCCCGAGCAAGCCCGTGGTGAGGCCCTACCGTCCCCCCACGGCCCAGGAGGTGTGCTACCAGAGGATCCAGCTGGCTCAGCAGCAGGCAGCACAGCTGGTTCAGAAGGCCTCTCTCTCTTTGCCAGGAGAAAAGAGGAGGATTGCCCACGTGCCAAATGCCGCCCTCACCGCAGCAGCCAAGCAAGGTAAGTGGTGCTTGGGATCGCTGTGCTGTCCTGGTAAAACACACTGCCCGGGGTTCAGATTCCTCCAGGGCAGATGTGAAGCTATCAGGAGATGTGTGGAGACTTGAATCTTTGCTGACAGTGACCAGTGGAAGGCCTCTCTCTGAGGACTTCCATCCTGCTCTGAAAAGCATCAGGCTAGGCCTCCAGCCCCATCTCTCACCCTACCTCCATCACCTCAGCCTTCTGTTTCTTGCTGGGGTTGGGTTTGCTCCTCGTTCCCCCTTCCACTGAAGCCTTCAGAGGTGGCACAGAGCAGGGGGGAAGTGCTAATTGATGCTTAGTGCTGCCCCTCTCTAGTCAGAGCTGACGTGACTCAGTCAGTGCCTTGCAGTGACAGAGTCACCCCTTTAAACTCTGCTGACTCAAGTTACCCCAAAACAAACAGAAATGAGGTACCTTTCCTGGCAGGAGGTTCCTTCATCCCTGCCTGGGAGCTGGTAAAATTACCCAATTTGTATCCCTTTGGAGACTTGGCTTTGAAAAAAAAAAAAAAAAATCCCAGCTTGCAGCCTGTGATAGTGAGTTCCCTCTGGCAGCCCGGAGCCCGTGGCAGGATTTGTACCTGGCTGTTTCCTGTCCCCTGCAGGCCTTGGGAGCAGCAAGGCAGCTGTTGCTGGCAGGAGTGTCACACCTTCCAATGACTCTGAAGCCCCCAACCTCCCTCTCAAGGCTTGCACATTAGCTGGGATGGCTTCCAAGACCACCAGCACCGTCGTGCCCAAAAGGGTCGCCCACGTTCCCTCCTTGCAGGTAAGGGAGATCTGGGTTCTTCTCCTCTCGTTCCTCGTTGAGGGTGGTGTGTTGGATCAGGCTCTTCCAAACTTAGCACCCCCTGGCAGTGGGGTTTTGACTGGGTTGATGAAATGGGTTTGTTTCTTCCCGGGTTTTTTTTTAGTGGTGTTGCATTAAAAACTGGAACGCTCTCGGGGGCAGGAGTTAAACAGAGAGACCTGAGTGCTGCTCTGATCTCTTTGGGAACTTAACCCTGTTTGTTTGTTTGTTTGTTTTTCACGGTTTGCCTTTTTTTTTTTTTTTAATTTATTTATTTTTGTGGGAGGCCTGCCCAGCCTTTGGGTGCTTTTGCTGTGAGTTCCTCAGCAAAGAAATCACCAGAGTGGCAGGGAAAGGGGGAATGGCCTGAAGATGAAGGAGGAAAAGGAGGACAGGGTTAGATGGGATACTAGGAAGGAATTGTTGGCTGTGAGGGTGGGCAGGCCCTGGCACAGGTTTCCCAGAGCAGCTGTGGCTGCCCCATCCCTGGGAGTGTCCAAGGACACTTTGATCCAGGTTGGATCAAAGGAGCAACCTGGGCTAGTGGAAGGTGTCCCTGCCCAAACCATTCCATGATTCTACAAGTCCTTCCTTTCCCCATGAGCACTGGGAAAACACTGAGACAATTCAGAGTAGAATTCCTGATGGCAGGAAAGTGGTTGGTGCCCAGATATTCTTGTTGGTGATATCTTGTGTCAGGATATGTGATAACATGCTCTAGATTATTTCTGTAAGAGTGAAAAGCCATTTTCTTCTTTCCCCACCCAAAGAACAGCCCCAGTATCACAGAACTCACAGCTGATTAAAAATGGAAGAAACAACTGAAAGGATAAAATATTTACCAGTGTTACAGAAGTGCTTAAGGATATCATGTTAGGGATTGAGAAAATATATATATATATTCAATGGAAAGGAACAAACCCCCTGGAACAAGGCATCGAAGTAGAAATGTCCTGGGCGAAATGAGCCCTTTTCCAATTGAGGCAGGACCAGTTGCTCCCCTTGGAACGTGCTCACATCTTCCCAGAGAGCTGTTTTTCCTCCAGACTGCAGCGGATGGTTTGGTTTGTGGATGTCTGTGGGGTGGGGTGGGGTGGAGAGCAGCTGGGTGTTTTAGGGGTGAATGTGCAACTTCCTCTCTGCAAAAGAGGCAAATTGTGTGATTTGGGGGGCACAGACTGGTGTTAAATGGAAAGCTGCAGTGGAAGGTCATGACATGCTGTGCCTGAGGAACTTGTCATCCTGCTGAAGGGGGGAAATCCTTTCAGCAGCACCATGACTGGCATTAAACAAGGAAGAAAAACTCCAGTGCAGTAAAGCTGCAGGAATCCCCAGGGAAGTTGGGGTGGTTTTGTTGGCTGCCAAGCCTGGCAGGAGGGGCCTCCTGTTCCCTCCTCACAGCCAGAGGGCCAAACCCCACGTCTGTGACGACACCCCAAACTGGTTTCCCGTGTCACAGCTCCAGTTCAAAGCCTGGCACCGTCCTCCTCCTGAATGTCCCGCTGGGAATGTCAGCATTTTCCTGCCCTGGAATGCTGTGTGTGCATGCAGGGCTGTGACTAAGGCCACTGGAGGCCTTGCCCCCTGGGTGAGCTGCAGGAAAAAACGCTTGTTGTTTTCTGGTTGAAGTGCTGCGGGTGCCACAGGACCTCCAAGGGGTATTTTTAGAACCAAAATTGGTGCAGGTTGTGTTTGGCTCTGGGCAGGTTTTCAGAAGGGAAGTCACAGCAGTATTAATAACAGCAGGAAATGGGAGAGACTCAGAGCAACTTCCTAAAGCCTGACCAGCCCCTCTCTCTCTCTCTCTTTCTCTCTGTCTCATCTCCAGAGCCCCAGCTTACAGAGGCCTGTTATTCCCACAGAATTTGGTGCTAAAGTCCCCACAAACATTCGTCAGAGGTATCTCAATCTCTTCATCGATGAGTGCCTGAAGTTCTGCCCCTCCTCCCAGGAAGCCTTTGACAAGGTCTGTACAGCTCCTTCCTTCCCAGCAGGGAATAAAGGCCAAGACCTTCTAAAATCATGGCAGACCCAGAAAACTGCTTTGGGTTTGTCCACCTGGACAGCAGGAGCTGTTGCTCTGGTACAGCAGGAAGCACCTCCTGAAATCCACAGTGCCTGAGATACACGTAATTGGTTGTGAGTTGTTCCCTGCTCCTTCTGAAGGCTTTTAAGGAGATTTTTAAAGGTGTAGGAACTGTGGAGTAGGAGGATTTCCAAAAGCAGAGTTGAGGCAGGAATACATTTTATTGGAAAGCTTTGGCCTTTAATGTAAGCTGAGTAAATACAGGCCATTGTGTGGTGTGTTCTGTAAGCAAAGCAAGTGCCCACAGGGATTCCTCCCATGGGATTTCACCCTCACAGCTCCCTGGGGGAAATGTTCCTGTTGCATCCCAGGAGCCACCATTTGCCAGATTAATTGTTCTTAGCAGCGAAGATCTTGTGCTGCACCAGAGTTGGGGGACACAGCCTTTCCCAGGCAGTTCCAGGACTGCTTTGTTCATCTCTCAGGGCAAGTTTCCCATGAAAATGCTTTTTTCAGCACTTTGCTTAAAATCCATTATTTTTTTTCCTCTGACCCTCCTGACCAGTGCATTTTTGTGCCACATATTCATGACTCAATTCCTTTGTCAGGCAGTTGGGGTTTTTTTGCTGCCTGTGTTTTTGGAGTCTGTATTTGAAGAGCCAAACATTTCTTTTCCCCGAAAGCAAGAGCAGCTTTGGCTGCCCCTTCCCTGGAGGTGCCCAAGGCCAGGTTGGACAAGGCTTGGAGCCACCTGGGCCAGTGGAAGGTGTCCCTGCTCATGGCAGGGGGGTGGAAAATGATCTTTAAGGTCCCTTCCAACCCCAACCGTGGTGGGATTCTGGCAGTGTGGTGATGGGCTGTGCCGTTCACAGGCTCTGTCAGAAGAGAAGGTGGCCTACGAACGCAGCACCAGTCGCAACATCTACCTGAACGTGGCCGTCAACACCTTGAAGAAGCTCAGGAGCCTTGTGCCCAACTCCCCATCCAGCACCAACAGTAGGTACCACACTTGTGGTTTAATAACTGTGAGCCCTGCCTGGGGCAGAGCCCAGGGAGAGGAGGGTGTAGAAGAGCCAGCCCCCGTTTCTCAGCAGCCCCAGCTCAGCTTTTTATAGCCTGGCAAGCCCTAATGGGCCTTCAAGAGGCGAGTCCTGCAACGCTTTGTTGGCTCTCTGAACCTAAATGGAGATAATGCCACATGGATTCATTTATAAATTTTTTTTTTTTTTTAGCACAAGTCCTTTAAAATGAAAAGCCCTGCTAATGGAGTAACTTTCACATGATGCCTTCAAAGTGATAGACTCGTCCATCACCCCAGAAATCTGTTACACACATTAAGCTTCAAGAGAGAAACGAAGAGGGTTAAGACATTTCATTATTGGCTCTCGAGAGGGTACATTAAACAATCAATTTGTGCTGTTCTTGTGGATTTTTTTTTTTCTTCCCCCTGGTCTCTTCCCTTTTCTCTCCTCTGTCTTCATTACGCTCCTGGCCATTAGTCGGAGCGGCTGAACTTGGGAAGCCGGCCTTTGTGAGAGGGCTGCCAGCTAATGATTAGTAAAAAGCCCCCTCTCTGCCATTATCTGATGTGCTGAGCATATCCCAGAGCTCTGAAGCTCCTTTTCTGAAAGAGCTTGAAAGATTCAGCGTGGGAGGCTGGTCTGCAGGGCCCCGGCAACAAAGCTGCTCCCGCGGGTGGCTGATGTGATGGGGTCAAGTTGCTTCTGTCCTTGGTCCTGTCTTGCTTTTGGTCAGTGCAGGGTGAGCAGGTAGAGCTACAGGTTCTGCAAAAAACTGTAAAAGTGTCCTTGCTGCCCTTAAAACGCTGCTGTGGCCTGACAGTGAGAACTGAAAACTCTCCGTAGTGCTGGGATGAAAAGGCTGGGCCAGCACTTCACACACAGAATCCACTTCTGCAGCAAAGCAAAGAGTCCAAGAGGATAAACA